GTAAAATGTGGATGCAAAGTTTCTTGAAGTAGCGATTTTACCGATCCGACCGAATGACTTGTATGGAAATTTGCATAAGAATTTAAGTTTTGAACGGAATTGGTCTGTGAGCATGACTAACCTCTTTGTGGTTCGGCTTTCAAGATCTTCTAGTTAATTTTTGGTTTTTTGCCAGAATAGAACTTTACAGCAGTTTAGTCCTACTATTTCTCTCAAGGGCTACCTTAGATGGAAAGAAACAGATAACCGAAAGCAATTTCTTCTGAAAGTTTTACACCAGGGGCGTGTATCATTGTATCTGTGGTGGTATTTTCATGGTACTGAGGTCGAGTGTCGATTATGGTACGTAACTACGTGCTTTAAACTATTATACCGTGCAGGTTTTTTGACTCCTCATACGGTTTCGATGTTCTCTGCTTCTCTCGACATTTCCACTTCCGGTTTCATTCCTGACAGACGTTCTGTTTTATGTGTTAGGTGGTTGTTTCGAAATTTACATATTTGCTTTTCATGCAGCGAAAAGAAGTATCATGAAACAATCAACTTCGATTGGTCGATCCTTATCCGACATCTTTATTCATACCTCATGATTAATAGTGGATTGTTCTCAACTTCCATAGTTCCTTATGAAGTACAAAAGATATCACTATAAAATTATTCAGTCTTTTCATTTCTTGTTTGTTATATCCATTGTAGTTCAATTTTTAAATAATTATTTTCTGTTTTACGCAGCAAAATTTAAGCAGCAATCTTCTAGGTACCGCCGTATGGTCGAAAGAATTTTTCAGACTCTAAACCTGGGGTCTTTTTTGGAGAAATCTTGCCGCTTCAGCGTTCTCGAATGGAAAATTCCACAGAAATATTGCGAAGTATTTTTTAATTCTCCTAATGTTTTATGTGCGGTATTCCGCAAATTTTGCTGTTTTTATTTTAGTTTTTCTTCGCATTATTGATATTTTTTAAAACTCTGGCAAATGTTTTTTATAAATACTGAAATTTCTTGCTCAGTATCAATTTCTGATCCGCAGCCGTGTACAATTTATTAATTCTCCATTTATTTACTCATTCCAGTAGGGCGATTGCATATATTCCTAGGTGGTACCGCATAAACGTAAAGGCGAGTTTGTAATCAAAGTGTGCTATGATTTTGCCCTTGCTTTGTAGCGAAATTGCAACAGATTTTGTTGTGAAATAAGACAGATTTCACTGCATCTTACCGATCGAATTGCAAAAATGCTAAAATGATTATCAGAACAACAACAATACCATAAGCAGGCGATTAGCTTCTATTAAAGGTAGAAGTAAATTTTGCTGAATTTGCATTGGCTGAGTTTATCATGATTTTAATTTTTCCATTTCGTTAAGGTCATTCGAACGTGGATTTCCAACCTAATTTTCAAGAAGAATCGGAGTCAAAATCTATGATCGAAAAGCGGCCTCGAAAGGTACAGAGTATGACGCTTTTTAAATAATTTAAATGCTCTTATAAATGCATAAGACCCAAAACTTGAGAACTGAAGGTCACAATCTTTATTATTCTACAACAAAAATACGGTAATATATTTTGCAACCCCGTTTATCCTCTCAGAGGTAGATCATGACTCATGGTTACTCCGGAACATCTGGATGATGATGAGTGGATAACATCAGGAAGTAGAAAACACAGAACATTACCTACACTGCTTGGAGGGATAGTATCAGTGAAATACGATCAGTTACTCCTAAGTATCATGTATCTTCCATGCTGTGCACAGATAACGATATTTATCACAGTCAGTTTACAAAGAGTACGATTCGAAGATCAATACGTATGTTTATTTCGGCATTGCAGCATTTGCACGAAAATTGGAAAGACCGCTGGTTTTTGTTTCTTAGCTCCCTAAGGAACGGATTTAGAACGATTTCATAATCAAAATGGAAATATGAAGGACCAATAATGATTATTCAAAGTTATTGGTTTCCTCAGTAATGGTTGACGTAGTTTTTTTAGTCTTTAAATTTTTAATTATTAATTCACGTGTTTAATATGAGTATTATGTAATTTTTCTTAATTACAGTGTAGATCACTAAACCATATGATAACTGATACCGGGGACCATGGATGAAACCGCTGCAAGAAGAGTTACTTTGGGGGCACTGATAACAGCTACGTTTAGCATATCCTTTTTCGGGATTAACTGGATCACTATTGCCCACGTTCGTGACCTCCGTGCGATTTGTCGCCACAAGTTTCTCTGTCTCTCCCATCTGTGATTGCTGAAGTCCGTAATACTGTTGTCCGACTCGAATTGCATGCAAGGGACTTGGAGTCATTTTTGTTTGTGCTTTTCATTTTATTCAATCTTGGCAAATGGTTTTGGCTTTTGTCCACGCTAGTCAGACGTGTTGAATAGTACTTCTGTTTGCCCTTCGTCCCGACTGAATAGGGTTCTGGGTGACGGTTTTGTGATGCTTCTCACGCTCAGAGTTTTCTTCAGTGACTCAGGTAATAACACCTCTTATCCGACTTAAAATTAACCTATGGTATAAATCATCAATATAAAAAAACTGTACTAGCCTTTACATAGAGAAAAAATCATTTTCAGAGAACTTTTGAACAATTCGATGGGGCCAATGTACGTCAGGACTCAGCAATAATTTCTCGAGGAGCATTGAAGAAATATGGTAAACGCACAGATGTTACGTGATGCGGTTCCTCCTGAACCAAGTCATTTTAGGCGAGCCATTGAGCAAGAAGAAGTTTTGTACCACATCGAACGCTTTTGATAAAGAACGCTGGTTTCCGCTGTTTCACAACGACAACGATGACGACGACGACTTGCAGCTGAATGAAGGCAGCGGAGAGCCAGAAATTGCACTGAAGAACAAGAACGAGCAACTCAGTGCAGAATCGTATATGACAAGTGACGTCTTGCGAAAGCAGGACATGTACGAGGTGTGGGCGAAAGAAGTAGGGCGATATTCTAATTCGATGTCGATCCTGTCGACACCGGAAACCGTTGGGTCCAC